TTAAAGGGGAATTCAGTAGTTGGCGCATGTATTGTGGTTAGTACGCAGCAAATACTTTTTGCTGAAGGGGGTGAATTTTTGCTTGCCTAGATGATAGTAAAGACAGTGTGGGCATGAAGCACTTGTACGTTGGTGTGTTGGTTGTACTGACGTGTATGATGTCTTGTCAGAGGAGTGTGTTTACACCTCTCAACCTTTTAACCTGTTTTCACAGAGCACCGTTTGCTGCGCCGAATGCTTGTTGCCTCCAGGTCTTTGTTTCTTTTTTCTGGTGTTGTGTTGTACGTCAACTTGGCTAGATGTTTGCTGTGGTTCTTGCCGGCCGTTCGACTGTCTGTGCAGTCTGTCATATGCCGATTGATTTATTTTTTCGTTTGCATCGCTTTGCCTCTGTGTGCACAGGCGCAGCAGCACTTGTATTTGGAGTGTTCAAGAAAGCCAACTCGGACGTCACCGCAGCAGAGGTCAGAGACATCATCAAGGCCACTGTTCAGCCTCTCGCAGCGGCAGAGCAGACTACTCAGTGGGGCGGTGCTCTCGATGCCGAAGCCGCCGTCTTGGTAAGTTGCTGGATGGATGCATGGATGCATGCATGCATGGTGCCGAATAACAAATATATATGTATGTGTAACTATATAAGTAACATGCATGTATGCATGTGCAACTCTGTAATACGTAACGTCTCTCTATATGTTGCGCACGTTAAACCGTAAACTGTTCAAGTCCGTGCGCGACACAAAACAGCTACTCCAGGAGAGAAGTTGCTGCAGCCTCTAGTAATACTGGGAATATGCATAGGGTTTAGTGGATGCAATGATTCATTCATATAACAAACAACTTAAAAAAAAACTGAGATGCTGTTCTGTTGACTATGCGGCTGCTGTTGTTGCCGCTGCTCTGGCTGGTGCTGTTTCTGATGCTGCACCTGTTGTTGTGCGTGTTGCTGTTGCTCTGCAGATGGCGCGGATGGGGGGAATGTGGATGCAAATGAAGTGTACGGATATGATCGTTGATTTGGAGTCGAAGGAGGAGTATGCATCGTCGCTTTACTTGCGGGGTTATGCTCTAGGCACCTACAGGTAGAGTATTTGTTTCCCTGTTTATCTTTTTGTTCCGTTTCTCTCTTCCACTTGTTCTGGCTCTCCCTGTGTACCTTACTATTTTGATGGAATCCCGCTCTTTATATTACTTCAACCTTCACCGATAGCAACTTTTTCTATCTAATCATTTGGCCCTTTCTCAGTCCCGCTCTACAACTGTAC